TTTTTTTTTTTTTTTTTTTTTTTTTTTTTTATAATTTGGTGACATCAAGTCTCGATTGAGTGGTTGATTAAAACAAAAACTCTTTGCTTAGATGACATCGAACGTTAGTTCATTAACATTGGATGTGAGTTAGACAAACACTTTTTTTCCTGAAATGAGGTTAAGCATGGGTTTTGGCCACACCAGACATGAGAGCAACATGGGTTTTCTACAACAGAGGCTCTCTGTCTCATTTCACACCAGGCACAAGGAGAATGACGTCAAACATGGGTTGCCTAATGAAAATGCTATTTTTGGCTAAGTGTTGAACATAATGTAAGTAATGGTGCTACATGTTGTATGTTGATGTATATATATGATTAAATGGTTGAAAGTTGTAAGTTGAGTTGTATGTTGAAATATTGAGCTTAATATATTGGGCTTGGGCTTACTTCATGGAGCATGGGCATGCTTTGTTGGCGTTTTGAGGAAGCACAATCGTGCATATTGGTAAATATGACCGAACATGTCTTCAACCTTCTGTAATTGTTCCATTTTATTCCTCAACTACAATGATTTCATTTTTTTTTTCTTATTTTCCTTATTTGTTGCACACCTAATAAAAGAAATGAAGTATTGCAAAAAAGCTAATATTAAATTAAGGCAAAACAACAATAAATATGAGGTTAGTATGCAACATTTTGACAATTTAACAATTGGATATTCCATTGTGAAGATATTGTTGTGGTGTTCTAGAAACCCAAATGTTAAAAACCCTTGTTAAGATATTGACTTTTGAAGTGAATAGTTGAATTTTCTTTAAGACTTTAATTGATGTAATATGTGGGCAAGGTCGATACAATGTGGAGATCATAATAGATCATTACAACTATATATTAGACAATTATTCCCAAAGTTGTTATTTTTCTTTTGTAAAAATTAAAGAGACAAGTATTTCAACATCACTTATACATGATAAAGAAGAAAAGGAAAAAAAATGAACATAAGAATAATAAATAATAAATAAAATATAAATCAATTCAGATATATGCAAAAAAAAATTTACAATTTTACATAATTTTTTTCTACTAAAAATACTTAACAAGTCAAAAAAATTTCACTTTAATCCTTTATTCTCCCTCTCTATTCATCTTCAATGCACCAAACAATAATTAGAGAAAAGTGTAAATAATTTAGTTTTTAATTAGAAATCGTAAATAATTTTATTTATATAAAAGTGAAAAGACGGAATTAAGAATATTATTTCTAAAAGGGGAAAAAAGATATGTGTGTGGAAAATGAAATGATAGTTTAATGATTTGATATTGTGTGGCATTGATGAATGATGAATGATGATGATGATGTGAAGGAAGGTGAAGTGGTGCAGCGGTGGAAGAGTGCAGGCAATAAAGTCATTTCACCTCGTATACTTCCCATTTTATCAAAACCTACCTTTACTTCTAAATATAGGATTACCTTGTGTTCTTTCTCCCTTCGGAACCCTCTCTCTGCCATGTTCATCTCCCATTTCGTTTGAGGGCATTCTGGTAAATCTGGAACGCCAAATCTCACAGCTACATCTATGCCTCTGTTCACTTCTCATTGGCTGCACCTCCTCACAAACTAAATCCAATGCTATTTTATAATCCTTTCTCTTGAACCTTCCCCCATCTCCTCCACCATAAATCCTACCCTCCCCAAACACACACACACCAACCAAGAGGTACTTTTTTTTTTCTTCTCTTTTATTTTCAAACTTCGTACTTCACATCCTTTGCTTATCTTCCCACGTTCTTTTGTTGCTTGTCTTGTCCCGCTGAGCTAACTGATTCCTTCACTTTCAGGAACACAGAAATAAACGGCTTGCCGTTAGTTTCTATGACTTTCGATGTTATGTGTGTCACCGTGATAGAAACTACAACTCATAATTTTTTTCCAAGTTTTTTTTTTCTTCTTACCCTGTTTGATCTCTTCCTGATTTTGAGGCAACCCTTTTCAGAGTCTAGAGTTCTAACTTGGAAGTTTAATTATTTATATATTATCTAGATTTGGGTTTGCTACTTTTGCTTGCTAGTTTTAGATCTCTGGAATTATTATTGACAAATTTTTTTTCAGGAAAAAAGAGGATTCCAGAAGTTGGTGTGATCTGATGAGAGTGCTTGGAGCTTAGAAGATAATCCAAGGATTTTTTTTCCGGTAACAGGAACACACGTGTGAATTAGAAGTGAAGAGGTTAATGGAATCAGATCTTCAGCAGCACCCTCCGATGTTTTTGGATCATCACCAGCAGCAGATGAATTCAGGGTTGACACGGTACCGATCGGCTCCAAGTTCGTATTTTTCGAGCATCATTGACCGTGAGTTCTACGAGCACGTTTTCAATCGCCCCTCAAGCCCCGAAACAGAGCGAATGTTGACGCGGTTTGTGAATAGTCTCGGTGGGGGTGATGCTGATGCTGATGCAGAGGATTCACTTGCTACTCAGAATCCCCCAACTGTTGTTGCAGTTAAAGAAGAGGTTAATGTTAATCCTCAACCACAGGATGTGCCATCCATGAGTAACGAACCCCGTGTTCTCCAACAGCAACAACAAAGTAATATCAATAGTTATGGATCTTCTGCTCCTCACAGTTTTTACCAAAACACTGGACGGCCACCTTTGCCAAACCAGATGAAGACTGGTCGTGGAAGCAGTTCCAGTCTCATCAGGCATGGTAGCTCACCTGCTGGATTGTTTTCAAACATTAATATTGAAACTGGTATGTCCAATTTCTTTTCTCTTTACTATTGCTATTTATTTCTAATTTCACCTTTTTTTCTATTAAAAAAATGCCACCTTTATTTTTTTCCCAGGGAGATTTTATTGTTTCCATCCCCCCCCCCCTTTTTTTTAAATCCTAGCATACACAAACGTACTAGAATCCGTAGTGGGGGTTTAGGTAATTTTCATTTGGTAATAGATTCAAATTTGATTATTGTAGAACACCGAAAAATCCTCGCTACAGGAAAAATAACAACATTAATTCTTGCTAGATCAGGTAGCATAAATAAATATCTTCAAATTTGTTATTTTAGTCTCTACAAACATTTTTCTGTTGTGCAACTGGTAGATAAAAAAGGACAGAAGAAAAAAAAGGAGGATTTGATTTTTCTAAATTGAGATATTTTCTTTATAAAGCACATTAAGGAATTACAGAAATTAAAAAATCCACCGTTAAAAATGTAATAAAAATTACATACAAGTGTTTAATAAATTATGTCATTGTTTCAATTTCATAATTTTCATCTATCCATTTCTAATTAATAGTTAAAATTCTTATTTTATCCGCCAAAATGATTCTATTACTTTATAGTCATACACAAAGTAGAATCGTACATACAATATGACTAGGGTCTAGTCTAGGTAGGTTTTGGTGGGAATCCTATGATTTTATAAAGAGGTTGGTTGAGAAAATCATGGCTAAGGTGATCAATATTTTCCTGGTTTAGGCTTCAGATTTAATTATTTATGCCAATTTTCTTCATTTTCTTACTTCATGAATAGGTTGTCATAATGACGCTATGCAAGCTTGATTGGCAGGCTATGCTGCTGTGAGAGGCATGGGAACTATGGGAGCGGTTAGTAACACTAGCGAGGAAGCAAACTTTTCTCCTGCAACGGGGATGAAGAATGCACCAAACTACGCTTCGGGATTAATGTCATCAAGAGCTGAAATTGGAAACACGAGCAATGCACAGAACAATGCAGAAAATGAAGGGTTTGCTGAAAGCCAGGGTAACGAATTTATCCCCGGTTTCCCTGTAGGTGCATGGGATGATTCTACAATCATGTCTGACAATATGACTGGTCTAAAGAGATTTAGAGAGGAGGATGTAAAACCATTTTCTGGTTTAAATGCAGCTGAAAATCAGGTAGAGTGTACCGTTGGATCCAGGGTAACATGTGATGTATGATTTTGAATTGCAATGTCATTGACTTGATTTTGTTGTATTGGTCACAGAATGAAACAGGAGGCCAGCCTTCTTCTGCTTTGGCTCATCAGTTGAGTTTGCCAAATACTTCGGCAGAAATGGCAGCTATTGAGAAGTTTCTTCAGCTCTCAGATTCGGTTCCTTGCAAAATTCGTGCCAAGAGGGGTTGTGCCACTCACCCAAGAAGCATTGCAGAAAGGGTATGATTTGTTCTAGCCAAATTATTGGATTATAAAGTCCTCTCATGTTAATAAGCATGTTTTGGCTGGGATTGTTTTTCAAAAACGAGTAAAATGATACAAACCTAAATTTTGTCATGTTACAAGAGAAAGATACTAAACATTATAATAGGACCCACCATAATTTCTGTAGGTTCCATTAATATTTTCTCTATTGTAACAAATTGAGGCATTGTCCTGTTATCACAAATTATTTCCTTTTCTTTTTAACCTGCACTTGGTTTGTTGTTTCTAAAATAGGCAGCCGAATTTTTCTTACTAGTTATCTTTTGTCAATTGCCCTTCAGGTTAGAAGAACTAAAATTAGTGAGCGAATGAGGAAACTACAAGATCTCGTCCCGAACATGGATAAGGCAAGTTTTTGACTTGTTGCACAATTGCGTCACCTTTTATTTTGTGTGTGAATTGTGGAGGAGGCCTTGACGCATATATCAATGTTGTTTTCCTCTCTTTGCAGCAAACAAACACGGCAGACATGTTGGACTTGGCTGTTGAGTACATTAAAGACCTTCAAAAGCAAGTTCAGGTATGTCAAAAATAACTGACCTGTCTCAGTCCTATACACCAGACCTGGCGCACAAGTTACAAAAATAAAAAAGATTTTGTTAGAAAAAGCAGGGATTCATTACATCGATGTCAGAAAATTCATTTATTGCTTTGAAAACTTTTTTTATTTTATTATTCATTTATTTACTGGGATATTTTAATATCATCTAAAACCGTGAATTTAAATATAATTTAAAGTGAAAGTCATCATTATTTTGATGTTTAATAGTAATGGATGATGTCCCATAATATGGGAAGATAAACGTTATAAATGCTTAACTAATAATAATATATTGATTATGAAGCTAGCATATATTTGGGCATTGGGTACTCATTTTCTTGGTACATATATTTGTACATATTTGGTTAGACTCTTTCAGAGAATCGCGCGAAGTGTACGTGTGCACAGAAGCAGCAGCAATAACGGAAAAGGAGGAAGATAGCCGCGTTATTCCGTGTACAGCTTAGTAATAATTTGGTCTAGAAACTAGAGAAGAAGCTTTCCGATAATTATGTAGCCACATATTCAGCGGTTGTTTGGGAGTGGTGGGAAAATCCGCTTATAAAAGTTGACTTTATGATCGAAATTTGATGCAACATATTCAAAGCATGGTGTACAAAGTTTTCTGATATAAGTCCATGCCTTTACTCTTAGGGGGCCCTCATTTTGGGGGACGGAGGATCGATGATGGGGTTGGGTGAAAATTTCATTTTTGCATCAATAACGTTAAAAGGGATGTTATGTATGGGTTTGGTTTGGTTTGGTTTCACATTGAATGACATGGGAAACATGGGGGACCGAAGCCGACATATTTTTTGTTGGTTATATATACTTGTATGAGTAGTGTGTGTTTTACTTTATTGTTATTCTTATTATTACCAATAATTTTGCCCTTCCTTTTCTCATGAATCTTAGAGTGTCTCACAAAGCCAATTCGGTGGTGGTAATCTAAATCCGTACCCATACGTGAATGGTGGCTTTGCTTTGTGTTCCTCTTTTTCACATTATCACCCATTCGGATTCGACTATTTGGGTTTTGCAATTCAATATGACGAGGATTCGTTGTCTGCTTAATCTCTAAAAGACTAAAAATAATGTGTTCTTTCATCTCTTTTGCCGCCACAATAATGAACATTTTGAAGAAAATAATATTGTCCTGTATACGTGGCGACAAAAGGTAGTAAATGGGTTTCGGCCTTTGGGAGTTGATAATTGATATGCTTTTGAGAGAGAAAGAGCACATGGATATGACACAGAGCGCTGTAGGCAATGGATGAGTCACTATCCCTAATGGGCCAATTGCGTGGGTCCAAATCCATTTTAGTGAAGACCATGTCATAAATGATGTCACAAACCAAATTTTGCCCTAGACTTTAAGTAAATGTGTCCATTGTTTTGGAAGGTACACGCAGCATATTTAGTTACTTGTCAACCATGAGCACTCACTATTCACTCAACGCTTGACGCTAACTATCAATTAGACAATTATACTCTACAAATTAGGGTGCTCAAGATGGCATATTCTGAAAATAATAAGAATGTGCTTAGTTACTAAAAATAGTTGTTTAAGCATTAGATTGGCACGGTTATGGCTCGTTCATTAGTGGGGTGGGTTGCCAATGAATTAGTATATCTATGGGCTTGAGTTAGGTTAAAATGATGTATAATAAACCCTTTTCTCTTTTTCGCATTTTTTTTATATAGACAATCTTATTCATAGTTGCCAAAACTATGTTTAAGAATATTGAATACAATTTCACATTCAAAATTCGGTTAATTTAAAATAGAAAGAAGAAAAAAGAAAAGGGAAAGAACATTGGCAGTAACTAGTAAGCGAGGGTGAGTCCGTGACTGGATAACCTTTTGGTCGCGGTGGGGGACCTGCTAGCAGTGGCAGACTAGCAGCTAGCTAAGTGCATTATTATTCGTCTCTTTCACCCTTTTGTTCCATAGTGAGAATAAATAGATAAGAAAAAAAAAAGTAGTTAAATGGAATGAAAGGGAGAATACAATAGTTTTTCATATTTATGTTGGTCGTAACAGCACAATTCCACTCTCTTAAATGGAAAAAGTATAGTTTATATATGAAAGTAAATGGATAAAAGGGAAGACCTCAAGAGCTAAGTGGAACAACAAAGTTGCTCAGATTCCTCCTATGAGTTTATCTATGAGACTATGACTATGAGTCATGACTTACATGATTGTTGCCATAGCCAATGCCATGGTCATTAAATTCTCTTAAGAAAAGTGGCACTCCGGGTTGGGAAAACCCTTTATTTGTTCATATAAAGCAGGTGATAACGAATTGAATCCAACTTATAGAAAAAGAAAAAGAAAAAGAAAATTAATCGTTCAAGCTTAACTTATTTATTTAATCAAACTTAATTAAAAATTTCAGTTTGGATTATTAAAAAAGATAAACTTAAATTTGACTTTACTTATTTTTGTTGTTATGAAATTTTTTAAAATTGTATTTTAACTTTATTGATATAATATTTAACGATTATCTCATGCCTTTATTATTCGGGTAATTATCTATTAATAGTAAAATGTTTAACACGTGATATGTAGAATTTAAAATTTTTTGAAGTTATTATATTTTCATAATTTATTAATTTTATTTTTACTTTATAAGCTTTTTTTTTCAATTTTAACCAGAGAAATGATAACAATAAATAAAAGATATTTTTAATAAAAAAATACTAGTATACGATAATATAAAATTATTTTCATAAAATAAATATTATATATATACATATGTGTGTGGATGGGAATTAAGTTAATTATTTTTCTTGATATAGTTATTCTATTAAATAACTCACAATAAACATTAAATTCAATTAATTTGATTGTTAAATTAAAAGTTTTAATTGAATAGATAAAGCTAGTCAATAAATTCATGCAAAATCTAAAAACTATTTAATATTTCATGGAGGATTTGAACATGTAGAGATTGAAAACTTTCCAAACACACAATGAGGAAGAGGTACATCATGGAGGATTTGAACATTTCAAGATTGAAAGCTTTCCTGTTAATATATACTGACAATATACCACACTATTTGTCCTAACAAGAACCAAATATAGTTAGAAGAATCCTACCAGATCATGCCATTAGAGGTATCTCTAATCCTACTTATGATCTTGACCTCACTAGTAAGACCAGATACCCTATGAGTCATTACACTTCTAACCAAAATTTGTCTTGCTCAAATAGCACATTTATAAGTTAATTATCTAGTGTGTCTATTCTTAATAGTGTGAAGGAAGCTTTAGCTAACTCGAGGTGGAAGGATGTTATGAATGAAGAGATGAGATGTATACAAAGAAATGAAGTGTGGGAATTGGTGGATTGTTTAGTTGGAAAGAAACCAGTAGGATGTTGATGGGTGTGCATTGTGAAATTTAATGCAGATGGTACAATTAACAGATTGAAAACTAGATTAGTGGGAAAGAGGTATACAAAAGCATATGGAGTAGATTATATCGACACATTTTGCTCTTATAGCTAAAATTAACACAATTCAAGTTTTATTGTCTCTAGTTGTAAAGCTTGATTGGCCCTTATAATAATCTCATGTAAAAAATGTCTTCTTGCATGGAGAACTTAAGTTTATATGGAACTACCAAAAGGATGTATGATCCCGGATACGCATAGCAATGACGTATACAAGTTGAAAAAGTCATTATACGAACTAAAGCAATCACCACGAGCATAGTTTGGTAGATTCACCAAGTCAATAATTGTGTCTGGATATCGACATAGCAACCAAGATCATACCTTATTTTTAAATAAAAAATAAGGAAATATTATAATTTTTGTTATTTATATTGATGACATGGTAGTTACAATAGATGATCTAGAGGAACACAAGGTGTTGAAAGAATATTTAGAAAAGAAATTTGAGATGAAGGATCTTGGACCTTTGAAGTACTTTCTTGGAATTGAGGTCTCAAGATCAAAGTCAGACATTTTTTCTCTCTCAACGAAAGTATGCATTAGATTTGTTGAAAGAAACTAGATGATAACATGTAAACCAAAAAATTCTCCAATTAAAGGGGGATTGAAGTTGTGTGTTGAAAAAGATCAAAATCCAACTAACAAGAGAAGATATCAGAAACTTGTAGGAAGATCGATGTATCTCACACACTTCAGACTAAATTTAGCTTATGCTCTTAATGTGGTTAGTCAGTTCATGCACAATCCAGGTGAAAAACACATGGATGTTGTCATACGAATTTTAAGATACATAAAGGTCACTCCTAGAAAAGGAATTGTGTTCAAGAAGATCTCTAACAACCAGGATGTCATAGTTTATAATGATGTAGATTGGACAAATGCTCTTGATGATAGAAGATCAACCTCTGGATAATTCACATTTGTAGGAGGTAACCTTGTCACATGGAAAAGCAAAAAAAATAGAGTCTTGTAGCTAGATCCACTACAAAACCTAAACTTAAAGGAATGGTTCTTGGACTTTGTGAATGTTTGTGGCTTAGACTACTTCTCCAGGATTTATGATATGCACATACATGTCCCATTCAGTTGTATTGTGATAATAAAGTCGCAAGTGACATTGCCCACAACCTTGTTCAACATGATCGTATGAAACATGTGGAGGTCGATAGATTTTTTATCAAAAAAAAAGCTTGATGAGAATATTCTAAAATTGTTCAATATTCAATTTTAAGATTAGAAGACAAATATTCTTACCAAAATTGTGACAAGTCAGATTTTTGGGAGATTGTTAGACAAGTTAAGAATGTATAACATTCATCATTTACTAACTTGAAGGGAGGTGTTGAGATGAAGATATCTGGTTAACTAAATTATAGGTTTATATAACTGTATAAAATATTGTATAATTATGACTTTCTTAATTTTATTCTTGATTGATATAAACTCTCTTATTTAGTCGTTGATTTGTAGGAGTAAAATATTATAAGAATAAAGTATTTTGTATATCGAAATTTTGAATAAAAATCATTAAATTTATTTTATTTTGCAATATATATATATATTTATTTATTTAATTTATTCTGCGTTCTTAATATCAAATTTTTAAATTTTGTGTTTCATTTATTTAAATAACGGGCCCTAACCTCAAAGTTAAACTTGTTTATTTAATTAAATAAACAAAACGGATAATCGAGAAGTCGAGGATGAATAATTCAGGAATTAGCTTACACCCTAAGAGGTAAAGCTATAATTTATGACTTACCTTGTCTTCCAACGCCAAAAGCTTCAACGTACAAGTATCAACTATGAATTTTCCTTAAAGAAAAACCTATGAATTCAAATGAGAATGACTCTATCGGTCTATGGTCTATACTGTGTACGTATTATAATTAATGGTAATGAACCCAACTCTGCAAATAGTAATTGAAATAGTTTTAATATTGTTGCCCATAATGTTTGCTGATATCATCGAACAAGGTTCTTACTATTCCCAAAAATTTGTGGAAGAAGATAACTGCTTCAGTCGCACTTTAGAAAGATGGCTTCACATGGCAACTTTCACACGATTTGTTCTAAGATCAATACTTTTTATTTACATTTATTTTGACGAATTCCAAAACACAATTCATTTTGGCATGCTGATTTTCTTTTACAACTTACAAGGATATTTTAATTATGATTGACTTCGAGAAATTAACAAAGCAAGATTTAGTGCAGATTGGTATATATATATATATATATATATGATTATGATATAAATATTTTTTTATAATTATAAAAATTATTTTTAAAAATAAATAATTGATTTATGAGAAATTATTCAAAATAGTTTTTTATTTGAATCAAAATTTATATTCTTTGCGATTTCTAATTATAGCTCGTTTTTATAAAATTTTTTACTAAAATCATTTATTTAAAAAAAAAATAACTTTTAATTATTTTATGTACT